TGCATCAGCATATGATTCAACAAAGTTGTACATACAACTTTAATGTGGTATTTTATTATTTAATTTTGTATTCATTGTATCATTATATCATCATCATTATCATTAAATCATATTTATCATTATTCTTACGTGTGCATTTCAATAAATTATTAAGAGTCGACACCTTTTGCCCATCAACGCAATCAGTCATCTGTTACAAGCTACAACTAGAATAACATCACAAATCATCTTTAAATGAAAGGTCTTCAGCCCATCTCATGTATAAAGTATTATCGTTTTAATATTCAATCCATATTAATTATAATGTTCACACCCAACCTTCCTTGATTACATGCAAACACTATATTGATTTCATATTAGTTGTATCAATCTCTCTTTAATATATAAAATGCAACATGAAATATTTAAATCTATACAATACTAAAAAATCTAGTTTATATTTTCAAAAAAATCATAAATTTCATTTTACCCAATAAAATTTAATGACACTACAATCAAAATGTCCATCAAATTCATATATATCGTATACGAAAAGTTACACTTTAAAAGTGTGATAAATCAAGAGAAAATATATTTTTATTGATTTAAGAAAGATTGTGAAAATATACAATCTTTTAACTTATACATATATGCGATATTAGGAATGACCTTTCTTTATTAGATTTAAACGAGAATTTGACTTTTAATAGGACACAATGGAGAAAAAGGATTCATGTAGCCGACCCCACGTAGTGGGATAAAGGCTTGATGTTGTTGTTGTTGTTGTTGATTTAAGAAAGATTAAATTCGTCAAACTCAAAATCATTAAAAATTAAAGTGAGATTTGTGTTACTTACAACAATCAGAAGACTTTTTCCAACTGAAGTAATGGATAAAAATAACCAAAACCTGACTTTCTCTCTCTTCCCTCTCTTCTCTTCCTCTCCCTTTCCCTCACTTCTTCCATGGCAAGCCAAGAACAAATGGGGGTGGTGGTGGCATTGAGGTACTTTAGTGCTTAGGATTTTACAATAAATATATATATAAATACGATTAATACCCTACGACTGCAGCATTGCATGTTGAATTCAAAACTACTATAAAATAAAGCCTCTAATACCACAGTTATAATTTCTAACATTATTGTGCTCTCAAGCTTAGTGCCGCAACTCTACAAGCACAATACCGAAGCACTCCTGTTCTAATAGAAATTTAAATTTTCATTTTAAAATAATTTTCCATGTTTTTTTATTGTCACATTGAACCCTTAATAAAAAGTCATTTAATAAATATGAATCATAAGCAGTTGAATATTCTGATCATAATGTTGCTCCTCTCATGCCAACACATGGTACACTACAAACCCTTGAATTGAGATCACGTCGGTATCCATCAACTTATAAGGTGATTTCCCATCTCTCTTTGTATGATAGCCCAAACTATTAACTATCGAAATATTATTCGCTTTGGCCGAAGGGCCTCATAGTTTTATCCTATTGGTGTAATTTCTTAGGAGGTCACTCATCTTAAGATTTTTTCATGATGAGCACGCTTAATTACATAATTTTTTAATAAAATTTTCACCATTACACCAAAAGATGTCTCAATATTTAAAATTTTAGTTTATTTTACTTAAGAGGTTTCACAATCTCTCATACTTAAATAACTAATGTTTACGTCAGTATCCTTATCCCATAATTAGCCACCATGCAGATAGGATTCTAAATGTGACCCTTACAAGTTCAAGTTGTGACTCCCGTAGGGTTCAAGAGTGGCTCATATGACATAATTTGTCTTTTATGATACTTAGTTCCCATCTTTCGGCTGGTATATTACTTTGATACCATTTTTGATAGCTCAAATTCTTAACTATCGAGATATTGTCTGCTTTGGCCTAAGGGCCTCGCAGTTTTGTTATGTTGTTGTATTTCCTAGGAGATCACCCATCCCAAGATTTCTCCAGGATGAGCACGCTTAACTACGAAGTTTCTTAATGAAAATTTAACCATTATACCAAAAGAAATTTTGTTGTTTAAGAGTTTAGTTTCTTTTACTTAAGGGGTTTCATAATCTATCACACTTAAGTAACTGACGTCCTCGTCAATATTTTTATCCCAGAATCATCCACCAAGCATATATGATTCTATAGGTGGTACCTACAAGTTCAAGTTGTGACTCCCCACTCCCACCATGTAGCACTTTGTCTCATATAGAATTCAAGATGTGGCTCCTATAGCGTAACACTTTATCTTGTATGACACTTAGTTCCCATCTTTCAGCTGGTGTATTGCTCTGATACCAATTGTTACGGCCCAAACTCTTATTTATCGAGATATTGTTTGCTTTGATCTATTGGCCTCACAATTTTATATTGTTGGTGTAACTTCCAAAGAGGTTACCCATCCTAGGATTTCTTCGAGACGAGCATGCTTAACTGCAGAGTTTTTTTTTAATGAAATTACAATCATTACACCAAAAGACGCCTTGATAATTAGGAGTTTAACTTCTTTTACTTAAAAGATTTCACACTTTTAGATTAGATTCATAATCATCTTGAGAATTATTAATGTATTCAAAAATGAAAAAATCACCCCATCTTTAGGAACTTTTATTTTATCCAGTGAACGTACGCAGAGGAACGTTCGGTTTTAGGCAAAAAAAGCACCTGTACCGAGTACCGAGGTGTACCGAGTTTTTTCAAAAAACTCGGTACATGCGCTTTTTTGCCTAAAACCGAAGGTTCCTCTGCGTACGTTCACTGGATATAATAAAAGTTCCATCTTTAGACCTTACATCCTCCACCCCAATCTAAAGCCAAAATTACAAATGACTCCTTCCACCCCGAGGATGAAAGATGTGGAATAAGGATCATCGCCAATCAGCCTTCCACCTATTCGAAGAAGACGAAGATGGCGGTGGACTGGAGCACTTGCATGTCATAAAAGTAGGCTAGCTTTGCCATAGTTATCATCCTCTCTCACGCACCTCCGAGTGGGTACTTCGTATTAGCATTCAAGGAGGTCTAAGAGGAAAACATTTTGAAAGTGCCAAGGCAGCTCTTGCAAGATCGTGTTCATCCAGCTGTTATCTACTTCGATCCTTAATCCACAACCAAAATCGAAACCTAGCTTCAGTTTCTTCCTCTCCAACGTGTGCAAAGAGTCTTTAATCCTCAATAAAAATTGCAGAAAGCTAGCTCGCAAGCTGTCCTCTCGATCTTGCTTAAAGCAGCACGAATCGACCTTCAGCTCTCTTTATTGTCGCCGCTCTCTCTCTCTCTCTCTCTCTCTCCCTCACCGAACTTTTATTTGGTCTAGTCACCTGACATAGCTCTACATTCAGACCCCAATAAAATAGTGCCATGTGTTCTCACTATTTACCGCGCGGCCCGTCAACCCCGACCCGGAATGGAGCCGAGATTGCTATGTTCGCGTATTGCTAGGTATTGCTCGGTATTTGCTCGGTATTGGTCGATTTTGCTCGACAATAATGAGAAATACCATTCTGTGAAGACCAATACCGAGTAATACCAAGATTTTCTCGGTATTGCTCGGTATTGGTCTTCACAGAGCGATATTTTTCATTATTGTCAAGCAATACAGAGCAATACCTAGCAATATCGTGCAATACCTAGAGCAATACCGAGCAATACACAAACATAGCAATCCCGGGTCAAGTCGTCGGGCCGCGCGATAAAAAGTAATAGCACGTGGCGACATGTTATTGGCGTCCGAACGTAGAGCTACGTCAGGTCACCTGACCTAATAATTTTTCCTCTCGCACATTCCATGCCCTAACTCTTGATTCCTACCTTTAAGGCATAAGATTTCCATAATAGGGCACGAGAAATGATGAGAATTAGGTTGGTTGAACCAATTTAGTTCAATCTCCCCCTATTTCAGGTTATTATAGGTTGAATAACTTTTTTTTTTTGTGACAAGGAAGCATTGTCCTTAGGCCAGTGAAAATCCCGGTAGGCCTAGCATGCAACACACACCAATTTATAGGTTGAAGAACTGTAGTCGAGTAACAAAGATTGTTGGGCGACGGTGGTTGCAGATCCATAGTTGGAGGATGGATGCCAAAGATTATAGTCTGGTGATGATGATAAAAAATACCGTGGTCAAGAGACAATAGTCAAAAGACATAGTTGAAGGAGGGAGGTTAGAGGATGTACTTCTTATTATATACCAATGCCACTAATAACATCATATACTAAAAATAATAAAACGTAAACAATATTTCATTTTATTTAGCATCAAAACATATATATACATATTTCTATCATATCCTCAGAACAATCATAATATACAATAGACATGAATGCAATCTTTCAGTTCAGCCTATCCCATATATTGAAGATTCTATGAACAGAAGTAATGAGAGAACTAATTAAAAGAATATAATTTTGTCTAATATAATGTAGATAATTGTTGATATTATACACTACATTGTCATTCTTAATTGGTTTTTTTAATTAATGTAACTGTTATCCCAAATGATTGTAAATGGATGTATCATAATTTAGTGAGTAACAGTCAATTATCTAGTAATTTAATTAGCATGGAACAATTTTTTTTATTTATTTATTTTGCATTATCATAAAATGAGAATTGAAAGGTTCAAAATTTTAAAGGTAGATTAATAATTAATTTGCAAATTATTTGAATTTAATTTCCTTCTTGTTTCACTTCAAATCAAACAAAGCCTAAATGGTTTGATCAGCTTCTTGCTCACTACTGGAACAGATAACACCTCTACTGGAAGCACCAACAGTAAAAAGTTTGCATAGACAAGCAGAACATACTTTCTTCTACCTTTGACAACAGTTTCCTGCAGGAACCATAGGCTATTAAGCATTCATTGAACTATGTTCTGGCTGCAACAATTGAATAAGAAACTTAAAATCTTATTCAATTGAAACTCATACAATTTCTCTTTCATTACAAATTAGAAATTAAAAGAGAAAATAAATACTAACAACTTCTTGTAAATAGACAAAAAGAACTAAGCTGAGAGCAGAAGGAACAACAAAGCTACATAAAGTGATTATCAGACAACAGAAATTTACACTGAAAAAGTTGTGTTCATCTTTTTTGGAAATTCAGCAATTTGATTGCAGTTGCAAATAAAAGAGCAAAGAAAAGTGCAAATCCAATGACCATAAATGCGACGAAACCTAAGAAATCGCGCCGATATCCAAAATAACTTGTCATAAACTCTGCAACTGTTTCATTTGTCTCTAAAGGTTCATGGACATCTCCATACTGTGATATGAGCAGTCCATACAATGTCCATGCAACAGGGCAAGCCCAGGAATACCATCTCCACCAAAAAGGCATCCTCTGCATATAAAAAAACCATCATTAAGAGTAAAAACATCAGAGAGAGAGAGAGAGATATGAAGGATAGAGATTCGACTTACCGGTCGCGGGATAACAAATCCCGAGAAAAGGTTCCATATGCTATAAAATGCAGAAGAAATTATACCAGCTACCTGGACATTGCGGGTCACACCAACTGCCAGCATACCATAGAAAGTGAAGTATAGTAGTGTGAAGTACATGAAGAAGAGATACCATAAGAACTTAGCAGAAGTCCATTCAAAGCCAATCATAGAATATACTATGGTAGAGTATGCTATTGTCTGAACCAAGACATAAGGGAACTCAATTGTAACCTATATATTGTTTGAAGAAAGAAACTATAAGAAACATACAAACATAAAATATAGCTTCGATGACAAATACAGAAGAGAAGAGTTGTGTGGTAAGGTAAAAATTACTTGTCCAAAGGCATATGGAAATGCTGAGTACATTCCTGCTGCCTTTTCTCTATAGAACACTGTTCGCTCAATAGACACAACTGGCCTTATTGATGAAGAATATGATATACCCATGAATAGAACAGCAGCATACATAGAACCCATTGCATTGAATAAATCCTGTGGTTTTCCTCTAAAATCATTCAAATAGAAAGTCAGATTAATGGTTTTGATGTAACTCTTTGTATAAAGAAGTATTCATATCAATTCTTATTCAAAAGTAGGGGTGTCAATATTTGACACGACCTGAAAACCCGACTCGAACCCGACCTGAAAATTTCGGGTTAGGGTCAACCCGAAACGGGTCGGGTTCGGGTTCAAATATTTGATTCGTTTCAAAAATCAGGTAGGGTTCGGGTTGACCCTTTGATCCGAAATTGACCCGTTTTGACCCAGCAATCCGAAATTGACCCGTTTTTACCCTTTTTTGAACCGAAAAGCGGAGATAGACCCATTTTTGGACCCGAAAACTAGCAGTTTTTTGTTGGCACTAGGTCATTCGATTCGTGTCGGTTTGACCCGGACCCGAAGCGAGTCCGATTCGTGTCCGGAAAACCGATCCGTTCGCAAAAACGGGTTGGGTTCGGGTTGACCTAAATAATATTGGGTCAGTTTTGGGTTTGACCCGAACCCGACCCGTGACCCAAAATTGACACTCCTGTTCAAAAGTGTCATATACCTTTTTTTGCCAAGACCCCAGAAGATTCCTCCAAACATGAAGGCTATCATAATAGTGAAGAAAAACCTCAATGTAGTATATGAAGGGTTTCTCCAATATGACAAGCGTTGTTTCCAAAGGCAAGCTATGCATTGAGTTGAAAAAGATTGTGAATACGTCGTCGGAAAATAGAGATCAACTGTTCCAGGACGTGGTTTACTTAGTTCTCTTATCAGTGCTCTGTTCCTCCTGTTACGCAAATTTCATTGCTGAAGTTAAAATAGGAATGATATCTATTGGAGGAAAATTAAGGCATTAAGCAACTTAGCCACTTACTGATACAAGTTTGAGTTCTTGTATATTTCGTTCAAATCAACTCCTAAATCATCCTCTTGTGCTGTTGTAGTCACTTCCAACATCCATGTAGCTGGATTGTAACCATCTTTAATCTTACTGACTCCTCGAATTTCCTAGAAAGTACAAATGATTTTCTTTAAAAAATTATACTTATTTTAGTATTCATTTTAAATAACTTAAATAAACCATTTTGTTACATTACCTCAAAATATGTGATAAGGTGGCAGGAATTTTTCCCTAATGGCCCAACATATATCTCTTGACCTCCTCTTTTCATGAGGAAGAGCTAGAAATAAGCAAAGTTTAGGAATAAAGCACAAGGTTAGACTAAATAAAATGATCTTAGCAGGGGAAAAAACATCTTCAATAAACTTATTTGCATATATAGTTATTGTTTACCTCGTCAAAAGCTTCAAATATATCAATACTGGGTTGGTGAATTGTGCAAACAACTGTCCTTCCAGTGTCTACTGTATTTCTTACCGTTCTCATAACAATAGCTGCTGATCTAGCATCAAGGCCGGAGGTAGGCTCATCCATGAATATGATGGATGGATTAGCAACTAGCTCAACTGCAATGGTTAATCTCTTACGTTGCTCAGTGGACAATCCACTCACACCTGGCAATCCAACTAATGCTTCCATCAATGGAGTTAGCTCTACTAACTCCATGACCTCTTTAATAAAAATCTGCTTTGTATATCCAATACTTATTTAACATGAACTAAGGAAATAAGAAGGTAGAATAAAGTAAAATTAAGGTCAACTTACTTGTCTTTTTTTAGGGTCAACTTCAGCAGATAGGCGAAGCCAAGCTGAATAAATAAGAGATTCATGAACTGTCAAATTAGGAGAGTGGATGTCATTTTGTTCGCAGTAACCCGACACACGAGCAAAAGTTTCTTGTTTCTTAGGATACCCTGATATGGTTATGTTTCCCTCTATGTATCCTCCTGATTTTCTACCGGCCAATACATCCATAAGAGTAGTCTTTCCTGCTCCACTAACACCCATTAAAGCTGTAAGAACTCCAGACCTGAAAGAACCACTCACACTCTTTAGTAGCACCAATTTATCATCCTCGATACCATGTACTTTCATTTCCTATATGCATAAATTTATATGAAATCAGCATTTCCATCAAATAGAGTGAGATTTACAGCTCATGTATAGATTTATTAGTTACTAGACACAAAATGTTACCATGGGCATATCAACCGAGTATCTTATATTGTCAAAGGTGAGGCAAACTGGTATAAATGGAAGCACCATTCCTTTCCTTTCAGTTGCTTGGCCAACATCAGATTTTTTATAGTTATCTGAATCATATAGGAAACTTTGCTCCATTTCAGTAGGAGGTGACATTGATGCAGTTTGGTGATTAGTTTTCCTCCCATGAATATCTGCCTTTTTAGCTCCTTTAATATTCATTTGTTTTTCCCTCACAGGCTGTTCAGATATAGTAGTGTGACTGCCGCTAGATGCTTCACGAATTATAGAAAATACACTTTAGACTATAATTGGAAGATTAAGTTTAAGTTTATGAGGTTTAAACATGTTAAGAGATCCCTCACATTTGAGAAAGGCGAGAGCAGTAGTGAACAGAAAGTTGAAAAGAATGAGATATCCAATTGAAGCTGTGACACCAATCCAATACCATTTTGCTTCTACAAACATTCCACGAGCTTTCAAGGTACTGAAGCCAAGCGTCTGATTTGTTCCAGGTATGATCTGCAATAGAAAAATTAGATATCAAGTTCATTTTCATTTGTTTTCTTCTCCTATTATCGGATTTTATACTTGCTTTGCAGTTCAAAACGGAAAAAGAATTAAGATGCAAGACATTTCTTCTAGAAGTGAAAAGCATCTTCAAATTGCAAGACATCCCTTCCATTTTATAAGACATCAATCAAGATCATTGAAGATGGCTATTTTTTACTGACTAAAAGCTAATATCTTGCAACTCTGGGAAAGTTGTCCAACCGTCTAAGCAAAATTTAGCTTTAGATATCCTCGGTCAAATTTTTCATTAAAAATCATCTTACTTGGCTCCAGCTCTTTCCCAAGAATTCATTCACAAAAATAGCATTTTGTGAGTACATGAGAGGTGACATCCAGAATCCCCATGCCCACCATTTGTTCACATTACCTGCCCAAAGAAAGGGCAAAATTGATTAATCTAGAATGTTACAACTTAATCTTAGTTGTTTCATCATCATTAACCTTGTTATAACTATTTGGATCAATTTTAAGAATCTTTATTTTCAGTCATCCCTGTTGATAAATCCTTTAAAACTAAATGGCAATATCTTGAATGAAATAACCTACCATGTGCCAAGATGTATCCACCCAAAACTACAATCAAAAGCAGTGTGAAAGCTGCTATTGTGTTTGCAATGACAAGGGTTCGACCAATTACGGCGATGAAACGAAATAATCCAGAAGACAACTGATGGACTAGAACAAGCAGCAGATATTGCTTGAAGAATCTGTGCAAGAGTATCAAAGTGTTACTTCTCAACTATAAGACTTATTTGAGCGTGCAAATGTAGTCAATTCTCACCTTGCTGCAGCTGGATCAAATCCAATGACAAAGTAATTGAGAAGTACCCAGATTGCGACTTCCAAAAATGAGACTGGAATCCTCAAAATCCATAAAGGTAAAGCATAAGCCCAAGAAGGATAGAAGAGGTAGTCTCTTTGTTTAAAGAAAACAGGTAGCTTGACTACAGTCAAGGTAATCTCAGAGAGTCCATTAAACATGGAAATGACAAGTGAAAAGTAAAGAGGCCCCATATAAGTCAATCCGTCCTTTATAGTGTTACGGTGCATGTTGCTTCTCAAGAACATTGTCATCACAATTAATGCCATGATTGCGATCTGCAAAACAAAATTCATTAGAAATGATTTTTCTTTATTAGATTAAAATGAGAATTTGACTTTGAATAAGACATAATAGAAAAAAATGATTCATGTAGTGAATAAAGGCTTGTTGTTGTTGTTAAAGCGTAAATGATTGTGTAAAATTCATGACTTGACATTTCATAAGTGATGTTCAACTCACTTGAAATGCCCTGAATACATAGACAAAGGAGTTCCTTTTCATTAGCAACCATTCTCTTGCAGCACAAGCTTTCAGAAGTTCTATCTTTCTCACACCATACTTTGAAGTAGTCAGTGCAGCAGGATGGCTCTTTCTCCTGTCAAATGGAAAAGAAATATCTCTTCCTAGCTTTTCCCCAACATGAAATGAATGAAATGCAGTTGCAAATTCCCTTACAGTAACAAATCTGTAAGGTTTGTTGGGTTTTGCCCAATATTGCTCTTGGTCTTTCCTGGATGTCACCTATGAATTTAACAAGAAAACTAACTAGCATCAAGTAGGAAATAGGAATTAAAGTGTTTTGATATGAGAATTGGAAAATGATTTCATTGGACAGGCAGCAAGAATAGTATTTACTGAGGACAACATTATACAAAATTGACTGGCTATTTTGGTAATGAAAAATGAGAGTAGACAGTTCCTCGACAAGGTACATAGGATCAATCTGAATAAATGGGGGGAAGGGCAAAAGGTGCATTGGCTATGGATACTAAAGTTTTGCTTAGATTGGAGTTAGCACCTTGTGTAACAACAACAGTAAATGGTTAAGGATTCCTAAAGCTGATCCCGCATAGTATTTGCAACTCGATAATGATGATGATTATGAAGAAGAATTTAAGAGTTGTAAGAATTCTTATTGGGTGTAACATACTTCTTGCAAGAAGTCCGCAACACCTTTTCTCTTGGGGCATTTGAAGCCAATCAACTCAAAGAATTCAAGCACATTTGCAGTGGGTCCTTGATATACTATCTGCCCATCTGATAAGAGAATGATGTCATCGAAGAGCTCATATGTCTCAGGTGCTGGTTGGAGTAGGGAGATAACTCCTGTTCCACCAAGAATGTGGATCGCTTGCCGTATCGCATTAACTATTTGGAATGTTGTGGAGCTATCCAATCCAGTTGAAATCTCATCCATAAATAATGCTTGTGCTGGGCCAACCATCATTTCACCTATATGATTATTTACACATTTCATATCAGTCATATAACTTTATTACTTGTGTACTAATTGAAATTTTGAATTGATATGTCAAACAACAAGAACAGCTATGCATCAATTTGATTATTCTACCTGTGGTGACACGCTTCTTTTGCCCACCTGAGACGCCCCTTAACATTTCATCTCCTAGCAAGGTGTCAGCACAAATATCCAGTCCTAGAATCTGTTGTTTTAAGACAAAAAAGGGGAAGCTCATTTTGATTTCTTTTGTTAGATCTAAGAAACTTGACAAAGTTCCTTTAAGGGGCAATTTGTTTCTTTGCTTGTAAGTGTTTGGATTTCAGTTCGAGAACTATGATACATTTAAGTTATAGGAGTATTTATTTGATTTGTGATGGTTCACTTATTAACCCAGCTCTGTTCTATTTGAGCAACAATGGGTTTCATTTTTATCCACACTCATATTAAATTTTTTTATTCTTATTTTTATTTATCATAAATCATCAGCTCAATATTTTAATATTACTCAATTATTTTTAGAAGTAAAATTAAAGGTGACTTACTAGTCCTCAAGATTGAAACTCACATATGCCTTTTTGAAGTCTGAGAATCAAAACTCAATTCTGTTCAATTTCAATCAATCAAATGCTTGACATACTTATAGAAATGGAATCCAATCACTTCTAATAGCTTTCAGTGAAACAAATTGACCCTAAATGAAAGTTTTATATGCCTTCATGAAAACCACAAGAAGTTACCTTTAGTATATAATCTGTAATTACTCCATTCTTCTTCCCTTCCATTGCAGCTGCCTGCAAGAAAATAAAACAGAACCTGAAAGCGTCAACCATACATTCATTTTATTTATGGACACTAATGTTCATAAGCAATGCACAAACCTCGAGCAGCGGAGAAAGTTAGAAGTGGAAGATAAGAAAACAGAGTACATTCATTATGGCACTCACAGTCCTATGAAAAACCACTATATATATAAAAAAAAAAACATCATGTATAATAGACTCTTCTAAATCCTATAATCTAGCTAACTGATAGAACTAGCGGGAGTTCGCATGAAATAGTTTTGACACTTTGGAAGGGTGAATTATTGAGGGGCCAAGTTGAGCCCAAGACATAGCTATCAACCTGAAATCCTAAGCCAATCAACAAGGGTTACTGTTAGGATATTAAGAATTGAACTCTTATTTCACTAACAAGATGGAACTATTTTTAACTGTTATATGAATCTCAACTATCTCCCTCATATTAGAGTACTTCTGGTTCATCGCATCATCTCAAACAAATATTTTTATCACCATCAAATGTCATATAAAAGGAGCCCATTCATCTGAAGTTATCAAATCTTCAACTTTGCTCAACTATGATAGAAGTTGTCAAAATTTAGGAGTACAAACCAAAAGAGGACCGAAGTTGGGCCTAATATCTGATCGGTTAAACTCATTTTCAACCAAAGAAACTTAAACCAATAGTCAAAGGCCAACTAGCTGGTATTTCAACACCAATGTATTTTTCAACTATCTAATAGGAGATTAAACCTAATACTCTCAGTCTCTCACATACCTAAACAATTTCAACTCATGTGAGACCTTTCCACATTTGTAATCATTACCCCTCAAATGAAAGCTTTTTAACACCATCAATTATTATGCACTAGGAAACCATTTAACCATATGAACCATCATGAAAGTTACCTGCTCTTTATCTTTTTTCAACCAATGTAAAAGCCATTAATTATCCATGGGAGCCATAAACTGAATGAACCACTTGAATTTAGCCGAACCAGCAACTTTGACATCTCTTGTTTTGGAGTGAGAACCAAAGGAGAACTCAAGTTGGGCTTGATACACAAGTGGTAATATTCATTTTTAATATAAGAGGTTCAATCTATGGATACGAGTGAACTATTTGACAATACTAACATATTTTTCAACTATTTGATATGAGACTAAACCAAATATTCTTATGTGCCTTAACACCAATATATTTTTCAAATAACTTATATGGGACTAAACTTGCCACTCTAATGTGACTTAAAACTATAAACTAGATAGAACATTTGATCTCAACTGAACAATTTACTCTAATACTCCTTGTTAGAAGGGAAAACACCAGTGATGCAAGTAAAACCCATTACATTATTAGAGGGACATCAATCAACCCATAAGATTAAACAAACATGTGTTATACTTAAAACTCAACTCTTATTTCTCATTCATATGTGACTATTTCTAACTCTGACATGGATCTGCAACATTCGTTAGGGATAAATAGAGAATAATTCATACACAACGACAACAACGTCATCAAGTCTTTATCTCACCTTGTAGGGTCAGCTATGTGAATCCATTTATGTTCTATTAAGAGTCAATTCTCATTTAAATCTAATAAAAAAGTCATTCATGATGCTTTCATAAAGTTGAGCCTATATCATTGGAATAAAGGTGCTCTTGATGATGATAACCGTTGTAAAGACGAGCAATTAGTGGCATTTCTGTTTATCTAACCTTCATGAAGGCATCTATGTCAGGGTCTGGTTTGATGTTTGCTGCCTTCTCTCTTCTTGCTAGCTCAGTTAACATCTCTGTGGTATAGATTCATAAAAATAAATACAAGTGACTTAGGTATTAAAGAACAACCCATTTTCCCAATTATCTGCATTGATATTGTACCTACCATACCGTGAACCGATTCCTTGAAGCCTCGCAGAAAAAGAAAGTGTTTCTCTCACTGTCATCTCTGCAATATGAACATCTTGCTGACTTATGTAAGCTGCTGTTCTCTGTGGCACAAATTCATCCATTTCATGGCCATTGTAAGTTACTTTTCCCAAAACCTGCATCATTTTGTTCATATAAAATCCACTTGTTAAATAATAATAATAATAATAATAATAATAATAATAAATTACGTTAATACAAAAAGGAATAAAAATAGAAGATAGGATTGAGTACCTTAAGGTCAGAACTTAGCTTTCCAGCAAGCGCCAACAACAATGTGGTCTTCCCTGAAGCTGGGGGACCTAGAAGCAATGTCAACCTGGAGATTATATTTATTTTATAAAGTTGTGTGATTAATCAGATAATAAACTGAATGAATGATAGATCTTATAAGAGTTGATATAAGGGAAGAGACCTTCGCGGTTTGATAATTCCACTAATATCATTAAGGATTGTTATAGGTCTCTTCGTTCTCGGTAGTATGTGGAGATAATTTGTCAACGGCTGAAAAAAATTAATAACCAAAGAAAAACGGTTTCAGCACTGAAATCGCTTATAAATTTACAAAGAACACACAGAATTAAATCCTTCTTCATACCTCCACGGTATTGACAAGTGAGCTGAAGAAGGAAGGCAAACCTCTGCTGCCTACATAAGCTTCACCACTAATACTCAAGTTCTCGTACCTCACCTCAATTGTCGGGAATTCAATTCCTACTCTGGAGTTCAGATAAAAAAATTCTTGTAAGATGTAAACGAAAAGCTTTCCAAACAAAAAAAATGTATAAAATTTTGAATAATCCTACTTATTTCCTGTCTATTCCCTATAAAAAAATAAAATAAAAATATGTTCAAATACAGAACAATGTGCAAACAACCTTATGAGTCTTTTCACATTCAAAAAACAAATCGTTATTAAACATTTATTTCATCTCTTTGTTCTTATGAAACCTCTGCTTCTTTAAATCTTACTTGTCGATTCGATTCTTGAGCTTGAGAAGAAAGCTCTCGTGGTCTTCCTCGGCAACTCTCATCAACCTCTCCAACAAGTTCTTTCTCTCTTGAAACCCAAGACTCTGGATGTTGATCTCCGAGGCATCTTGACCATTGTTGAGGATCCCCTTCCTCATCCTGTTCAAGGTCGGGTGCCCTTCGAGCGAAGCCCATTTCAGCGCCTCCTCGTCGTCTTCAACCTTCAGAGACCTAAAGAAGCTATCATCCCCTTTCCAGAGTTCGGAGCTATTTATGCTCCTTGACCAGTATGCTTCCGCCATTAATGTCGAGCAAGCTCGCCTAAAAGAATTTAGACCCTTTCTTCACCACCATGTAGAGGACGAAGAGCTAACGTTTAAATAGAGAGCGCAAAGGAGAAATTTTTAGCATATTCGCAGACGAAATTAAATTAGACAATGAAGCTTAAATCACAAAATATAAAAAATAATAAGTATTTAAATAAAAAAGAATATAATTTTTATTTCTTTATTATCAAATATTTGTCATTTGATATTTGTAATCTTTTATATTTTAATACTATATATATATATATATATATTTATTTATTTATTTATTTATTTTTCAAATATTAGGTTACCAAAGCATGATAATTGAAAGCCGGGTTCAAATTATTGTGTAACATCTTCTCAGATTAATAGAAATAAATAAATAAATAGATAAATAATAATTTTTTTAAAAAAATATGAATATACAACTATAAAAAATAAAAAATAAAAGACAACCTAATAAGCCCTTTAAATAAGTTAAAAAAAAAGAAAATACTAGCCACTTATTATTTTCTTGATGCTAATCGAGACTCACATAATATGCCAATCAGCATTTTATAATTAGACAAACTTACACAAAATATTGACAATCATGAAGGATTATACGTTATTTTTATTTTTCGGACGACGATCAAATTTGGATTATTAGAATTTTCAAAAAAGAAAAAAGAAAAAAAATTCAACCAATGTGTTATGCATTAGCCCGTATGATTTGATGCAAACAAACCGTTTTGTTAATAACAAATGATATATTTCAAATATATGCTAGATATGATTGAATTTATATAATTGTTGCGGGTTAGAATATACGCGGCGATAGAGTTATAATTTTACGTCTTAGCGTTTCACGGATATCTAACTCACATACAGAGAACGCAAGATTTTTTACATGGAAAACCCTGGAAAGGGAAAAAACCACTGGGCCTAGCCCAGTTGAAATGATTTCACTAGAATTTGAGTTGATTAAAGTGGGCTGACTCGTCCCAGAGGGCGATCAGATTACAAATGTCAACCGTATGGTTGAAGCCTAGTGTAAAATATGGCGTCACTTGGAAGTTGGGGCGTCAGTTAGTAGTCCGACAGCGACTTGGCAGAATTCTGGCGTCAGTTGATGGTTTGGCGGAGTTTAGGGCCTCAAGCGTTGGTCTGGCGGAGTTCAGGCCTTTAGGTGGGGATCCAGCAAGGGTGAGGGCCTAAGGTGGTTATCCAGCGAGTGCGAGAGCCTTAGGTAGTGGTCCAACGAAGGCGAGGGCCTCAGGTGGTGGTCCGGCGAAGGCGAGGGCCTCAGGTGGTGGTCCGACGAAATTAGGCGGTGGTCGAGGATGAGCTTCTTCCTTCTCATCTTTATCTTCTCTTCTCCTCTTCTTCTTGCTTGGATCCCCTTTTAAGAGAAATGAGAGGTCTATTTATAGATTTTTGGAGTGGCATTACCCATAAATAGGTGAGAGATCAAGGGTAAATGGGAAGTGGTTTGATGGACGGCCGATGTTGAATCTCTTGATCATGAACCATTTGATGGGCATTTGAATGTCTTAGTGATGTCGGAATTTAGTGATCTTAGGCTTGTTGGATTTGTCTCGTCGAGTCGCTCGATTCAACTATAAGCATGTTATGTTTGAAAACCGTTTAGTAATCCAAATTGTTGTTTGAATCTTCTAACAACGCTTCTAACCCTTGATTTGGACCCATTTGAGCTCAGATTGGGTTGGATTTGGTGTCGTTGGGTTCATATTCTCGAGACACTCAGTTTGACTGTAAGTTTGCTGAAATCAAAGTTCAGATGCTCCTAATTTTAGTTTTGGAAGTTTCCAACTTGATTTAGCCTCGAGATTTGTGCACAATCAAGATAATTTTTTGACGATGTATCAATAATCATGATTAATTAGATAGTATTTAGTTCAAATACTAATAAAATCGTTATATATTTAATCATTTTTATAATATCTTCGTCATATCTATATTTTTAATAACATACATTATTTTGAAGTCATAAAATAAAAAAAATAGGCTCGAGAAGTAAAATAAAGTATTAGGTAAGAAATTGAATCATCTATTTGCTAAACAATAAATGAGTATGATAATGAGTAAAAACTAACAAACAAGTCAATATTCAATTTGGTTCATTTAAATTCAAGTATGTAATGAGACACAACTCTAATGAAAGGAGATACTCTTAGTATTATTTGACTTAGGCTACGTCTGGGAGAGCTTTTTTACTGTTTTTTAAAATAATTTTTTAATACAAAAATTAATTGAACTAAAAAATTGCTTTAGAAAACAATAAGAAAGCTGTCCCAACAACTTTCTTATGTTTTTTAAAGTAGCTTTTTGGTACAAAAATTTTCAATTCAATAAACTTTGTATTAAAAAACTGATTTAGAAGGCAGCAAGAAAGCTATCCCAAACGAAGCCTTATAGTGCTAATTATTTTAATAAATTTGTGTTGATATTAGTACGATTCATAATATCATAAAAATAAGAATTTTGATATCCATCTTGATTAATGTATGGTTTATGTCATTATTTTTTTCTTTTTATTTACTTATTTACCAAGACATGAAATACTTATTTTTTAGTTGAAATTATTATGATAATTGAGTAAAATCATACTAGCTAAGAGAGAAGGAAATTGTCCAAATATCATTAATTATCATTAATATTATTTTTCTTGGCTACTGACCCAAAATTCAACCTAACAATGAGAGGTTGCAATATGTCATGCTATTACAACTTTTCTTGAAGAGGTTTTTTATTTGAATAATTTGACTAATCATCAATGAAAGAATCAAATGGACAAATAATATAATTATTAAAATTATCTATGTAGATAACACATTTGATTTTTATTTATTTATTTAGTTTCAAGTTTGAAGGTTTTGTGCAACTTAAGATGAGCTAAAGGGACCCTATTAAAATCTAGAATTCTATATGCCACAAGCATCTATTGATTTCACTATCTACTATCTAGTAATTTCTTAGGTAAGGTCAAAGCTGACCCTCACAAAAATTTTTAAACGCTACTATTTTTAGTTCGTTCGAGGAGATATTCTTTATGATTGAAAAAATTTATGAGAACTTTTATGTGGTATTTGATGCTTATTAGCTCTATTCATGAACTGGATAAAACATCTTTCATATTAGTAGCACACTCTTATTAGGGATTAGAAAATGCTCTTTAATATTCCAGATAGCTCTTAATAAAGCAGGTGCTCTTCATCAATGAAACTTTGAATAAAATATAACTAATAATAATTGTGTTATTCATCGTCTTCAAAATACTATATAATATTCAAGATCACAAAAGTAACTCACTATAGTCTGAATTGACAATACTCGAATATATTAGTATTCTCGTTATTTAGAGATATTTTGAGCCCTAATGTCACATGTCTCTACTATGTTAATTGCCTAAAAAGATGAGACAATATCAAGCTTTGCACTTTCACTACTGTGAAATCCATCGAAATTCTTGGAGGTTATAACCTCTGTATTGAATTATAAATTTTAGCAATTAGACGAGTCCCAATAATTTTTTCTACTTACACCTTCATATATATAAATAACGATCTCCTTGGATATGGATGTAAGGATTTCCTAAGCTAAGATAACAGTAAACTCTTGCAAATAATAGTCCCCAAAAATCTCTTCGACATGAAATGATACTTAATTGAGAAGGTTAATGTCGTCAAATAGCATCAATGAACTAAATGTTATATGATTACCGAAGTGGGTTATGAAAGAGTCAACTTTGAAACCTCCAAAGTTTCTAGGAGTTGATATAATGGGAAAGGCACCCATAGATTCTATTCTAACTCCAATTGAATATGAATGAGCCACCTAATAGCTAAATTTTGAGCAAGTACAAGATAGCATCTCTACTTGTTGAAATCTTAGATGCCTTCCATCTATTTGTCATAGTGAGACTTTCTCTCATAAGCATTTGTGATTAGACTCTTTCTACTTTCTTATACTACTACATAGTGATTGTATGTCTTTATGCTTTCTTTGTTTTATTCATCTTACTCAATGAGGGGGGTAGCATTTTATTCAAGGTTTCATTTTTTCAATCTTTTGGACTCTATTATTCCTAGGATGTTAGTGATGTTCAAGCTTGATGTTTTATTTATTTATTTTTTGGGCAAAAAAAATTAAAAGGTAATATTTAAATGAATTTTTAATTAATAACTATTTCTTGTTTGACCTTTACGACTAAAAATTCAGCACACATAGATAAAAGTAGTAAGACCAAAAAAATTTTATGTGGAAAACCTGGAAGGGGAAAAAATCTCGTGGCTTGGCCTAGTTGAAAGTTCCACTATATAGTAAGTGATACAAGAATTCTTCATTCTTCACCATTGAAGAAGAGGGGATTTAAACAAATGTCTGATTTTCTCTGAGGAAGAGTACATAAATCATGCGTCCACAAAGGGGCACTTAACACCTTACAACAAAGGTTGATTTATTCAATTGAGATAATAAGAAACATATGTCCACAGGAGGACAAATATGCCTAACAATAGGGTTAAATATTGTTAGTATTTTGGAGATGGTGATGATTCCTAATGTTGATCGTTGGTGGTGATTCTAATTGTTGACGAAAATAACTCGTGCTGATCGTCGACGGTGAGGGCTGAATAATGGAAGTGAGCTCTCTCTAGATCTTTCTATTCTTCTCCCCTCTTATGTGGAGAATGAGCTCTATTTTTAGGCTTTTTTGTATGGGCATTTTGATAATTTGAGATAGAATCCAAAACACTTTATCCTATGATCCATATTGATTCCCTTGATCATAAAGTGTTTATTTAACATTTAAGTGCCTTGATGAAGTCAGAATTGAGTGATCATAAATTCATTGGATTCATCTCGTCGAGCCACTCGATTCAACTATAAGCATGCTTAATTTGAATATCTTTGGTCATCTAATTAATGCTCATAAGCTTTCAAATATACTTTAAGCCCTTAATTTGAGCCCACCCATTTGGGCTCAGATTGGA